ACATAATAAAGCAATAAGTTTACCAAGAAACATTTCAATAAAGCATTTAGCTGACACATAACATTTCCATAAAGCATTGTATTGACAAATCTCTCATTAATCTGACTAACGATACACAACACCTGCTTCAGGAAGACATAACGTCATGTAACCATGGTACCTATACCAGCAGGGACTGTGACAGTTCAGACGTCTAAGGGGGTGGTGTCCAAATGTTTTTGACGCACCAGTGTATATAAAATATTTTCCCTCTACCTGCCTAATGCTTGCCATATGTTAGTATGACCCTCTCCATGTCCTTGCACCACTTTTTTCATAACCGTCCCCAAATGACTGTTATATTTATTGATGACCCTCCTCTGAATACCTTGGTGCTACCAGGTTAACAGGTACATTACCATATCATCCTACCGGGTACCCATTCATGGGTGAATGGAGACATACTTGGAACAATTCACTTGCCTAAGGAGTGAGTGAGTGAGTTTGGTTTTACGCCGCTTTTAGCAATATTCCAGCAATATCACGGCGGGGGACACCAGAAATGGGCTTCACACATTGTACCCATGTCGGGAATCGAACCCGGGTCTTCGGCGTGACGAGCGAACGCTTTAACCACAAGGCTACCCGTCCGCCCCCCTTGCCTAAGGAGACACCACATGCTTCAGTGTGGGGCAGGACCGAACCCCTGCAACCCTCAGGAGAAGCTGTCACCCACCAAACAACTCTCTACGTCTACTTATTTTTCCCATCCAACTTTTCTCCACAATATTATTTGTTTGTTTGTTGTTTAATGCAACACTCAGCAATATTCCAGCTACTGTAAATCTTGAAATTAATGCGAGCGTGAATTAAATGCGAAAAATGCGAGTGGTCTGGGCTCGCATTATTAAACATCGCATTCATATCAACAATAAGACATTTGGATAGCAGAAATACCAACTTAGACATACGCTGGAAACAAACAACTATGTATTCCAAATCACTGTTAAATGAGCAGCACTTGTAACAAGTATATAAACAATGTCATTCAGACACTAATTACAGGGATCCAGGGATGGCCACTGTGCTGTGAACATTAGCAGAGATTATCAGCCTCGTGTCTGTATGTTTAAATATCACATATCAGGGATACAACATGTATTATGTGAGATGTGGTCAGTACAATACGTAGAAAATACCCAGGCAATGAAGGCATTACGGATCATGTCCCCTGGTGAAGTAGCCTTTGGCGAATGAATTACAGCACTCACTCATGAGTGACAGATATTTCCTCAAGCCGTCATTCAAATTGGGTATTGAAAGTTTTCTTGGAGTATTCACTATACTTTTACTCCTTCGGGCCATATGATCCAGTCTGTTAGGCACTGATAGTTTTCTTGGAGTATTCAATACATTTTTTAACTCCTGTTGGGTATTGATAGTTTTCTTGGAGTATTCAATATATTATTCACTCCTGTTGGGTATTGATAGTTTTCTTGGAGTATTCAATATATTATTCACTCCTGTTGGGATTTTGATAGTTTTCTTGGAGTATTGAATACATTTTTTCACTCCTGTTGGGTATTGATAGTTTTCTTGGAGTATTCAATATATTATTCACTCCTGTTGGGTATTGATAGTTTTCTTGGAGTATTCAATATATTATTCACTCCTGTTGGGTATTGATAGTTTTCTTGGAGTATTCAATATATTATTCACTCCTGTTGGGTATTGATAGTTTTCTTGGAGTATTCAATATATTATTCACTCCTGTTGGGTATTGATAGTTTTCTTGGAGTATTCAATATATTATTCACTCCTGTTGGGATTTTGATAGTTTTCTTGGAGTATTCAATATATTATTCACTCCTGTTGGGATTTTGATAGTTTTCTTGGAGTATTCAATATATTATTCACTCCTGTTGGGTATTGATAGTTTTCTTGGAGTATTCAATATATTATTCACTCCTGTTGGGTATTGATAGTTTTCTTGGAGTATTCAATATATTATTCACTCCTGTTGGGTATTGATAGTTTTCTTGGAGTATTCAATATATTATTCACTCCTGTTGGGTATTGATAGTTTTTTTGGAGTATTCAATATATTATTCACTCGTGTTGGGTATTGATAGTTTTCTTGGAGTATTCAATATATTATTCACTCTTGTTGGGTATTGATAGTTTTCTTGAAGTATTCAATATACTATTCACTCCTGTTGGGTATTGATAGTTTTCTTGAAGTATTCAATATATTATTCACTCCTGTTGGGTATTGATAGTTTTCTTGGAGTATTCAATATATTATTCACTCCTGTTGGGTATTGATAGTTTTCTTGAAGTATTCAATATATTATTCACTCCTGTTGGGTATTGATAGTTTTCTTGAAGTATTCAATATACTATTCACTCCTGTTGGGTATTGATAGTTTTCTTGAAGTATTCAATATACTATTCACTCCTGTTGGGTATTGATAGTTTTCTTGGAGTATTCAATATATTATTCACTCCTGTTGGGTATTGATAGTTTTCTTGGGAGTATTCAATATATTATTCCCTGTTGACAGAGTACATTTCGGACCACAAAATGGGTTCTCTATATCTGTTATAAGCGTGCTCGTTATAGCCATTAATTTTATATGATAAAATATAAAGCCAATGGCCGGGACAGAAGAAATAGTGTGTTAAATCTGTCAGTTCGTTATCAGCATGCTCATTATAAACATTATTTACTGTACACATACAATATGTGATAAAAAAATATTACTTCTTAAACTAACTCAGCTCTGAAAATGAAGCTGAGATTACAAGTCATCAACAATGACATTACTTTTATGCATGCCCAGTCAATAGTATGTAGTCTGTGTGGAAGAGACAACAAAGTTTACCATGTTTACATTTTCTCAGTTTTATTCAATTCTAATTTGGGCGGTCGGGTAGCCTAGTGCTTAAAGCGTTCGCTCGTCATGCCAAAGACCCGGATTCGATTTCCAACATGGGTACAATGTGTGAAGCACATTCCTGGTGTAAAACTCACTCAGTTCCAATATGCAGCAAAATTGAAACATTGGGAACTGGCTGGGAATTACAGCCCTCAATTAGCACTTCAATCAATGCATTTATACAAGGGTCACGCTTTATTAATTTTAGGTTTCACAGACTTATTCCAGCTTTTCCACACAACTGTTTGATAGGCATTACTTAGACGTAAAAGGATGACAAAGTAGACACATTTATGGATGACTTCTTTAATTACTGTTAAGGCGACGTTTCAGTATAGATCATGCTTGACAGTGGTATAAGGACCTATACAGAAACATGCAGCAGAGCTCCAGATAAGCTTTTGGTGTTGTGGGTATATTACCCATGCATTTTAAAATCATTGGGTATCAGTAATTCTATCTGTGTATTCAAATTTCTGTTACCCACTAGTTTTTACACATGTGGGTATTTAAGTTAAATATTTAAAAACACTATTCATCTAGTCCCTGCAAACTGGTGTCGTGTGGGTTTGAGAGCTTTATAGGACTCAAAAATACCACGATACTTCCACACGAAAGTGTGATGGCAAATGATCATGATGTGACTGTCATCATGGAGTTTGGTAAGGTTGACGGAATGCCCGTTTATAATTTCAAAATAAGTTGCTGATTTGCTAATCGAATACGCGGAGTTACTTCACAATATTTTGATGATATGCACAAAAAAAAATTTTGTAGCGTATCTGTAATGTTCGTTGCGTATTTGATACGCTTGGATTATATTTTACTGCGTATTTCTGCATTTCTGATGCGTATTTCACGCAGATACGCAGCTTATCTTGAGCTCTGATGCAGTGGAAATAAAGCTGCAGCTGCCTTCTTGAATCTGATCGTGATGTAGACATGGAATATATTTATAACGTCCTATTGTATAAGATGGTCTATATGACTTGTGGGAGACATAATAAACATCAATATTTTTCTGTTCAATTTATTTCCAGTGGGGGTGGTGGGCCCATGAAATGAAAATAGAAAATGTGTGGCCTACATGGCCGAGTGGACTTGAATTTATAGGGTGCTTAGAATACTCTCATTATCAACCATCAAACACTTAATACAAGTAGCGGGGCTCCTCATTTGATTATGTCTATATTAATAAAAATTACTTCCACATGTAGACTTATAAATTTATTAACAATCATTAAAGTTTGTAAAACAAGTACTGTAAGAAGTACTTTTCAAGAAAGTTAATACACCCCATTTCTGCAGAAGATGGGGTGTAATTTGAACCAAAAAATATATTATTTACACCACTGTACCCAACATTACTATCAAAAAGATTATTAAGTTTGTTAAACAATGAAATAAATTGTATGACAATGTTAAAATACACACATTTTCAAAAGAAAGATGTGATAAACTACATATCTCCTGCTTCTACTGACAACGCACTGTCATACTAGATCTATAAACATATCCTTTCTACATACCTACAAACTTAAATAGATGATATCATTTCTTCTGATTCAAAGTAAATTTAAAAATAAAATATACTCAAATGCACAAACCATAAATAAAATAAAGGGTGTACGTATTCTAAACAAAATTCGTGACTTGTATTCGACATATTATCACCTCCATCCATCATCTCACAGACAGAAATATACGCGAAGAAATAAACAACTTTCCATTGAAAGTAAAAATCTTGAAATATTGTCACCAAAATTACAGTGACACCACGAAAACTTTCGTAGGAAGCAAGATAAAGTTTTCACAGAAATATGACGCCCAGCATGGATTCCAACAACTGTGTACTTATGTCACAACGCTTGGTACATATATTGTGATTTACAATTGTCACGGTAAATTCTCGCTGCGAGTCGGCGCTCACTCTCTAACTGTGACAATCCTCTCAACGGCATATGTTCGAAAAAAGATCACAAAAATGTTGTGAGGGGTCAACGACACAAAGTACGAGCTTTCTGAAAGGAAAATAATTGCTTATCTCGTTAATGTTTAATTGTATTATCTAGTATTACGTACCTCTTTGTTTCCGAAAAGGTAAAGTCCCGTTTGCTGTCATATCGTTGTCTACCTTTTATTGTCAATATCAGTCGGCACGATCAAGGTTGGCGGAGATTGCTTCCGGAGATGCGGTCGGAATTAGGCGAACGTTCTGATTGGTCAAAATTTACGGTATGAAATTTGTTGCCATGACGATGTGTTACAACCGTACAGATGTTTCATAAGTTGATATGGTTGGTCGCAGCTATGGCGGTTGGAAGTCAGCCGTGAATTGATGCATCAGAAAAAGGAATGGACAGTGTTGCAATTAAATAGATTGGCATCGATTTTCGATGATGATACTAGCATTAATAGCCATTGGCACCACGGGAAATTGTCATTTAAACGTGAATATACTGAGCAGTTTGTGTAAAAGCATTTGTCAATTCTGGTCGCGTTAATGCACTGTCTGGAGGATTATTCTTTCGTTTTCATATCACTGATGCCTTACAATCATACAAAACAGTCGTTAACACCACCCAAAAACTTCGTGTTTCTCACCAGTTAGTATGTGCTTGTTGATTGGTTATCGTCACACTCAGCAATATTTCAGTTATATGATGGTGGTCTGTAAATAATCGAGTCTGGACCAGACAATCCAGTGATTGATATCATGAGCATCGATACATGCAATTAGGAAACGATGACATGCATCAACCAAGTCAGCAAACCTGACCACCCGATCCCGTTAGTCGCCTCTTACGACAAACATTGGTTGCTGAAGACCTATTCTATACCCCGGATCTTCACGGATCGGTCTTGTGGTAGAGCGTCCGACCGGAGAAAGGAAGGTCCGGGATTCGATCCCCGGCCGCGTCATACCAAAAAACGTTAAAAGATAGTACTTGTTGTTACCCTGTCTGGCGCTCGGCATTAAGGGGCTAAACAAGTTGTTACCCTGTCTGGCGCTCGGCATTAAGGGGCTAAACAAGGACTGGTCAGATAGGAGTCAGTAAACTGTGTCTGAGTGGGGTATTCATGATAAACTGCGTCATGGTATCTCAGTGGTCTAGGGCTATAAAATCAGCATCAGTCCGGACTAGTATAAGAAGCCACACACACACACACGTGCATGCACGTCGCTACATAAGTGCAATAATCTCGGACGCGACGTTAAACCCCGTTTCACCTCCCCTGCCCTGTGATATACCGTCTTTCCTGTCTTAGACGTACGGAAGTCTATATTTTACGGGTCGGTCGGGTAGCCTAGTGGTTAAAGCGTTCGCTCGTCACGCCGAAGACCCGGGTTCGATTCCCGACATGGGTACAATGTGTGAAACCCATTTCTGGTGTCCCCCGCCGTGATATTGCTGGAATATTGCTAAAAGCGGCGTAAAACCATACTCACTCACTCACTATATTTTACGCGCAAGCGGCTGACCCGGCGTCTTTTGACCGGCGTGTGTTGTTTACCGCTGGTACAGTGGCAACTCAGTGCCTTACAGAATCCATAATTCCACAGACATACCAAGGATTCATTTGCAGGAAACGGTCATAATTAAGTGAGATGAGTAATCATTGCCTGACGTAACTTATCGCAATGTGATGCGCTGATATGAGATTAATGTAACAAGGGATATTCCCGGCGTCTAATACAGGCCAAGACTAATTAATTTGGAAAGATAGGATGACTCGGCGTCAAATTAGAGGTCTGCGTGTCTTGGTGGTCCAGCGTCTAGTAGAGGCAATACGGTTGCTGGAATATTTCTGACTATGACGTACAGCAGCATTACACGTTTTAAACGGTATGCGGAAGACCTAGGTTCGAATCCCGATACTTTCAGTTCGCCACCGCCGAGGTATGCCTCTGGTAAAATATCTGAACAATGAGAGAACAATAAGAAGTGACGTCACCTCCCCCATCTGTCCCATATACATCCGTTCTACATCTTACAAGACCGCCTCCGTGGTCTAGTGGCAGAGCGTCTTCCCGGGGAACGCAAGGTTCGGGGTTCGATCCCCGGCCGCGTGATATTAAAAGACGTTAAAAGATGGTACTTGTTGTTACCCTGTCTGGCGCTCGGCATTAAGGGGCTAAAACAAGGTCTGGTCGGCTCGGAGTCAGTATACTGTGTCTGAGTGGGGTATTCATGTTAAACTGCGACATGGTATCTCAGTAGACAAGTTCTATAAAATCCGGACTAGTACAAGCAGCCACACACACATACACGTGCACGCACGTTGCTTAATAAGTGCAATAATCTTGGACGCGACGTTAAACCCCATTTGACCCCACCAATATCTTACAAATGAACGCAGTTTGATTGGACGGCAATTTTGACGTCGCGTACTTCGAATCGGACCCAGGAACGAGTTCCAGGGAATGGATCTAGGGTATTAATAATAAATACAATGGAGATGTTATACACTGGGAAATGGAGGATGTTTAGCCATATTGGAACAATCGATCTTTTCTCCGAACCTACTAGATCACATTATTTCGCCGATTACTACTCATAGTGCGATCTCAATCCCACTTTGATTAAAACGTACATGAAAACACGAAATGGGACAAAAAACGGATCTTATATGGCAACTGGATTTTTCTGAGATTAATGATAGACATTTTATATCTTACTACACGGTCCTCACGTGTGCTATATTAACTGCTGACAAACAATATATTGCTTTAGCACATCTGATTTATCTTGGTGAAAACGGATTGGCAGACCTGCCAATATAAGCTGACGTAACCTGTATTGAGGTCGATAATCTTCCCGATTCTATTTCTTTAGACTTGTTTAATTGCTTTTGTCCTCGCCCTTGAAATGGAATCACGAAATACCTCGATTATTGATTAACGATGATAGGTGCACGTGTGCTAATACTTATAAAGTGAAAACAAGCCTTTGCGGGGTATTACCGCTGGGACAGCCCAACAGTTACCGGATTCCCGATCCTCACCCGATTGTAACCACGTGATCAAAGCTCAGTTGTTGTGTTTATCGCCAGGAAGATCACTTGAAAAGCTTACTTTGCATTTTTTGTAATTTCCGTAAGTAATATACCTTATCGGCTGTATATATATTAGCACACATGCAGCCCTCTTCTGAAATAGTAATTCTATTTCAAGACGATTGTGCCGCATGCTTGTCATCGTTAAATACAATCGCCATCTGGGAAGGACATGAGTGAGTGAGTTGGGTGTAACGCCGCTTTTAACAGTATTCCAGTTGTATCACGGCGTGTCAGCTTAATGTGGGAGGAAAGCCCGAACTGGGATTCGAACCCACGATCATAGGTTTCTGGCGTGCAACTCAGTACAGCGAATAACGAATCCATGAAATTGGGATACGATGACATGCATGAACCAAGTCAGCGAGCCTTACAACCCGATCCTGTTAGTCGCCTCTTACGACAAGCATAGTCGCCTTTTACGACAAGCATGGGTTGCTAAAGACCTATTCTACCCCGCATCTTCACGGGTAGTGATATAACAGAAATACTGTTTAAAGCGACGTTAAACCCAACTCACTCATTTACACTTGACGAGTTAGGTCGCAGAGAGACACGTCGTATACAAAGGCGTAGTTGACAGTATAACTGCCGTTCCCGTGTTTATTCTGGGGTTTTAAAAATCAACGCCATATAAACTGAAAGGCAAAAGAAAGTATACACCTATGTTGGATGATGGCTAAAAATGGAACAAAGAGGAATGCTTGTTCGCTGGTGGTGTACGGGTATTTCATACGGATGTCATGGTTGTGTTCAGGACCTTAAGTTTGCAGTGTCAGTGAGTATGGTTTTTCGCCGCTTTTAGCAATTATTCAGCAATATCACGGCGGAGGACACCAGAAATAGGCTTCACACATTGTACCCATGTCGGGAATCGAACCCGGGTCTTCGGCGTGACGAGCGAACGCTTTAACCACTAGGCTACCCGACCACCCCTTTAAGTTTGCAGTGTTTCGACGACCGTTTTCAGTCTAGTAACGTTTTGATATCTTTCGTAATTTTGTTGTAAATTCCAGTTTTTAAGTGTGTACTTTCTTTAGCTGGAATATTGCTGACTGCGGTGTTAAACAAGCTGGTCAGAATGGTGATCGGGATGCCTACAACGCGGGACCCAGCTGAGTGTTGAACATTCGGCTTGGGATGATTCGTCAACCACCGATTTGACTGGCATATGTAGTTTTCTGTTCAAGTTAGATGAAATCATAATTTGGGTAACAACTTCTTTGTCATCTTCCCGAGGCAAGAGCGTTAACTGACTATAAAAGTCATGTTTCCACCCTTGCCGAACGAGGATGGTATTATGGAGTTACATTTTGGCTGGACTAACGAGACTATGCATAGTCCAACCAAAATGCGCAACGAAATCGAAATCAGGTTCGTAAATTGTCGTGCAGATTTCGGTCGATTGCAGGATTTGCAAAGCATGTGCACCGCAAACTCGTTGTCAACAGATATTTTCCTTATCTTTTCATTTTTTTTATCAAGGTGTTCGCGTGATTTGGTGCACTTCGCGATGTAAGACCCGTTTCACCACAATATAGATCTTGATTATCGATCAGAGCGTCTTGACTGGGCGCCGCCATTGTGTTTGAAACAAATGCAAGTGATTGAATCGGATTGGTCCATTGGAGAGGCTAAGAAGGGACGTAACTCGTAATAACCACTGGTGGCGCTACGATCGAGCCCATGAATACTAGCCCAGTTCGGCAAGGGTGGAAACTGGACTTTTACAGTCAGTTAACTCTCTTGCCTCGGGAAGATGCTTCTTTGTTTGCTTCGCCTTTTCAGGGCTGCTTCTTGCCCGGGTAAGTCAGTGGACCAACATACATGTGCAGGTCTATACAAACCTAGTTTCACTCCTTTACGTAATCCGCCTGCATATCAATAACATGTTATAAATCTTAATATATTCCCACAATCCTGTCAATTGACACACAATTATATATGAAAGTAAATCACCGCTGGTGTCTCCAGTTCAAACATGTTACGAAGTTGTCCAAAACGTGAGTCTGACAGTCTTCAATGCAAGTTTTCTGACATTTTACGTACGTTTCTTTCTATTATAACGCTCCGTTGTGCTTTTTCAGAATAATGTGAGTGAGTGAGTTAGGTTCAACGCCGCTTTTAACA